TCCACAGCTGTCTGCTTCTACTATAAATCTCTGCCTACAGTGCCTACCCACCACTCTCATGGAATTAATAGCCCCCAGGTCAAATTGGAGAAAACTTGGAAATCGGTATAGATTATTCACTAGTCAAGCATGCCAGGTGGCCCCTTGTGGATGTTTTGCATGGGAGCTTAGGGCAACAAAGTGCAGAAAGGTCTAGATGGCCTGGTTGGACATGGTATAACAGGTCAGGGCTTGCGCAGCCAAACATTTGACTGTTGGCGTAATGGCATCCGGTCTGGTTTGCAACTTATTCAATCAAAGTTTGTTTTATTTTGTTCAAACCTCTGCTAGACCACAGCTCATCTGCATGCACTGTATTCAAATATAATTTTCCTCACAAGCTCAACAGTGTTGAACCAAATGCTAATGCTAATTAGCATGCTAACATGAGAAACCTACCATCTTCACTTTCACAAACTACTTAGCCACATGACCAATGGTAAAATCTGTCATCAGCTCATTGCTTCTAACTAGCCATTTAACACAGACTATCTATGAAGGTACTCTTAAATAGATAGTTTACCAAAAAAATTAAAATTTCACCATAATTTACTTTCATGTCATTTCAAACCTATAAAACTGTCTTTCTTCTGTCAATAAAATAAGATATTTTGAAGAATCTGGTAATCAAACCGTTTTGGTTACCATTTACCTCCATATTATGGACCACAAAAAAATAAAAAATAAAATAAATATAAAAAAATAAAAATAATATTAAAAATAAATAAATTCTTAAAATCTGTGTTATTTTACTATTATTGTATTCTATATTATTATATTGATTATTTATATACTATTGTAGAATTTATAAAAATTTTAAATTGGCTTTTATTTTTACACTTTCAGTTTTTAAGTTTTCAGTTAGTTTAACATTCCTATTTTTTAGAAATAAGGCCTTTCCACACTGAGCGCGAAAAAGCGAAACGAATATCGGACGCGATGACGCGCTGGAATAAAACAATAGATTTATATGGATGGTATCACATAGACCGCTAACATTCGCGCACCGAAAATGCTAATGGTTTTTTTTCGAACCAGTCCGACTAATCTTTTCTGTTTCGCAAAGCAAAATCACGTGCCGTCCAATAAGATTTTAGCTATGATCATGTTACCGGAGCAGCTGCTGTTGCACAAAAGGGTGAGAGTGGTCGCGCTGTTTCAAAAAACCAGTGTAAACAAACATCGAAGAAGAGTATCCCAGATAAGAGAAGAGAGTGGATGCTGAGTTCTTGTAATCGTTGGTATTTGAGAACAGATTTATTCTCACGTTCTTTATACAGAATAACATTTCTATTAATTGTCCACTGAATTATGTAATCACAGTAGACCACCATCCGTTTTCTTCCACGTGCGTGAGTTTTATGAGTCAGAGCTCGTTAACTCTTTTTCTACACATGAAATATGAAAGCAAATAGACATGATTATGACGATATATTTTCTGTATGTGTTTTGTATGCAGCTCATGGTATTTTTATAGCAATAAAGGATGTTTATGACAAATATTAGCAGTGTAGCATTATTAAACATACAAAGAGAGCATGTGTCTGCTTATTAATCAAAATCAACTATAGATCACAATCGGAAGTTATTACAAGCACTCAATGATGGTTTAAATTCTGGGGACACCAGAGACTTATATTACATATTGTAAAAAGGGGCATAATATGTCTCCTTTAATTGATGCTTTGTTTTATTTCATCAAAATATTCTAAAATATAATTTAATCTGAACACTACATGTCTGACACAGAAGACAAAGACCACTCCTGCTGTTTCAGGCTGGCCAGCATTCCAGCTCTGAGCTTTTGCCAAATATTAACAGTCCTGCGGTGCTTACTGAAACAAATCTGCTGGATAGAGGATGAGAGAGCGAGTAAGGCTAGGTCAACCTATCTATCAGAACTCTCAGACCTGTCTCGCATCCATAGAGCGGTGCTGGCTCTGGAGCAAGTGTCCAGAGAGCAGGGACAGTTCATCCAGCCGGACCAGCAAAGTGACAAATGACAGTCCCCATGCGCACATCCTGGAAACTGATTGTGATGGCAGAGCAAAAAGGAAGGGAACCAGAGTCCAGCTCAGCAGTGAAGGCCTCTCAGTATCCAGTCATTAGTGCTGGCAGACCCCTGTGCAGCCACACGTCCCGCCATACCCTGATTACTGCCCTTCACGCTCAGCTTGAAAGACGAACACAAGGCAGGTCTGAGGAGGCCTGTGACTATCTATACAATAGTCTGCTTCATTTAGGGTGCTTTCACACTAGCACTTTTGGTGCGCACCCGGGTTCGATTGACGTCAGAGTTCGGTACGTTTGGATGATGTGAACGCTGTCTTCCGAACTCGGGTGCGCACCCACGAACCGTACCCGAGTCCGCTTAAAAAGGGTGGTCTGGGGTACGGTTCAAGTGAACTCCGGTACGGTTCGCTGCTGATGTGAACGCAATCGTACCAAATCACGGAAGTATTAATTCATTAATTAAATATTAATGACGTATTATTTGATAAAAATGTGTTTGTGTGTGTTTCTGAGAAAAAATATTGTTGTTAATAATGCTAAAAAACAGCTACTCATCTATCATTTCTTTTTTAAAAATACTGTGGTCTTATACATATTAAGAAATCAGTGCATATTGCTCTGGTTTTCTGTCTGAAACCATTTTTTGAAACCTCTGTCCTACAGAATATACAGTTCATAGGTAAAAGCAGTGTTAAATGTGTCTCTGTGCATTACCCTTTCCACAACATGACTGCAATAAGTGGTACACTCTGTGGCACAAGATGCTAAGTGGACTAATAATATAATATAATATAACATATTTTCTGTATTTTTTTAGCATGAATAATAATTAGAATGTATGTAGAATGTAAGAAAAAAAAATAGAATGTATGATGGCTTTATCAGAAAGAAAAAGTCACTTTCACTGGCATTTTACCCTCCTTAATTTCTGACCTTTTATACTGCACAATAAGTAAGAGCACTACATTACTAAGCTACTGTGAACATAGTAATTGAAAAAAAAAAAAAAAGTCTGGACATTTTAGGTTTAACTGAACCCAGCTAAAAATGCAAAATGGCACGCTTATGATCATGTCATCCTGATCAGATGTTGACAGTCTCATGCTATATTACAAACCCCATGTGTCTAAGCGACCACACATGATCCATAACAACTACATCATTTTCAGCTTCCACATCAAATGTGAGGTTTTAAAAGTTGAGAAGCGTATACAATTTATTTTTATCCTTGGACTCGAGCTATAAGAAAGAGTGTGAGGAGGAGGTATCTATCATTATGGCCACTCTTGGGTGGGTGAAGGATGTATAAGTTCTGCTATCTCGTCTTGAGCAGCTCTTAGCATCCAGTTCACCTATCTAACAGAGCAGTGTTATGTAAGCACTTGCTATATCGCAGCACATATGAGACTGATTACTGTAATCTCTGACATGGGTGGCAGTTTTTTAAAACTCAGCACAGTAAAGAGGGAATTAAATGAGTTTTTTACACAAACGCCGATGTTGCAGGTTTTTAGCCCTGCGATAGGAGGGCCGGTCTGAGATGGAAACGGCAATGATAGCTTGATGGCGGGTCATTAAAAGATAGCAGGCTGTTGTAGTGCTCACTGCGAAAAAGGAGGTTCTGTTGTCTTCTGTTTGTTCAGCATGAATTAATGGAGGATCTCGCCACCAGCCGCACAACAGAGTAATTGCCTATTTCCAGCTAAATTAAAGATCAGTCAATTTACTGATAAAGTTATCCAGACCTGACAACTGAGGAGTGTGGAAATGAACAGCTGATCGAAGAGAATGACATCTAACTTCTGCAAACAGTATAATGGCTCTTAGAGGGTGAAATGAATGCGAAAAAACAAAACCTATCTGGATCATATTAATTTAAAGAAAAAAATAATACTTTGTTTAAAGAAAACTTTTTAGGACTAAGGTGGTTTGCATTGTGATATAATTTTCATGACCAGGTTTTTCATGACCATTACTGCATTTACATTACATTTACTTTTTTGTCTGATGAAAACCTTCTTTAAATTTAGTTTTTAATTTAAATCTAACTCCATTTTACTTCATTTTTATTTCAAGTTTACCATTACGGTAATGTGAAAAATGTAATAATAATAATAATAACAACAATAATAAGAGGGTGACCTGAAAGCAAAAACAAAACCTGTCTGGATCATAATCAACAACAACAAAAAAGAAATAATACTTTGTTTAGGGGGGGTGGAAAACTTTTTTAGACCTACGATGGTTTGCATCGTGACCATTTTTATGACAAGGTTTTTCATTACCATTACTGCATTCCCATTAGATGTACTGCAGTCAATGTTTTTGTCTTTTGATAAAAACCTTCCTTAAATTAGGTTTTTAATTTATTACAACTAAATTACAAATGACAATAAATAAATAAATAAATAACAAAAAAGAAAAGAAAAAAATAATGGTCCTACAAATAGGATCCAATTTCTTTAAGCAGAATATAACTTCTTATTTTTTCTTTTTAATTTAGGGGTGAAATATGAAGCATTTTTCTGTGAGATTTTTATTTTGCATTTATGGATATCTTCATGTCCAGTTGTTCAGCAGAATCTCTTTGGGGTTCCCTTTTTGAAAATGATGCATATCATTATGCAAAGTCTCATTTCATCCAATCACCTTTGCTTCTTCTCTGGCCTGTGAAACCTTAATCAAATGATTCACCACAATTGAAAAGTCATATTAAATACGCCTGAAACAATTTCGCATCTGGGCAAAAATGTATAACTCCAGCAAATTTCATTAGAGAAACACACCACGGGTATGATGTCTGCTCTATCCTTTTCACAAGATAAGCTGTACTGAATCTATTATTCTGCTCGGACGGTCTATTCAAACTTGTTCCCTCTCAGTCCAGACAAGGACATGGTGATATGATGCATGTAGATGAAAGAACGGGGTTCGCCCAGACCACCTACCTCTTTCAGGCAACCCATAAAGTTGTTGCTGACGGGCGACCCAGGTAAGTCTGCTGTGCTTGGACTTCCTCCGACGTAGAAGAAATCATCTGATCCCAGCATTGTGTAGTCCTCCTGCGTATAGCCTGTTGTAGTCAGGATGCCGTCCACAGATATTGTCACCTGATTGGGAGGAATGACAAAAGGGAAGGAAAAATCCATTCATGAACATCATGGCTGTGACGGCCGCTCTACCAGGAATAGGTTAGCTTCGATCTTGCAGGTTGCTGTCTGTCTTTGATTGTGTACAAAAAGACCACTTCGAGACTTTTAGTAGGCCGTTCTTGTCTAGTATTTGTAGACTTACAAAGGACAGGTAAAGAAAATATTTTGCCGGCATATTTTCTTTATCTTTGATGTTGTTAGAAATGGTTTTCTGGTTTGGGGCATTAGTTTGAGGGGTTAGTGTTATGTACAAACTATAGACAAATTGCTTGCTTTTAGTTCAAATTCTGTGCACACAGGGTTAGTTGACACATGCGTTCCAAAATGAGCTAATACTACCACAAATGAGCATGCAACACAGAGGTCAGATGGTCTTTTTCCTCATATAACATTAATAGTGAGATACACAACCACTGCAAACATGGAATCATGCATCTTCTTCAAGCCAAGACGATATGCAAGGGGAAGCAGCACATATGAGACCAAAGCAAAAGCTACAGGATGAGGGGTAATGAGGGAGGACACAAGAAGTCATGACTGACACCACAATACAGACAGGACAGGACACTGGGCAGATGGTGGGTTGCTCAGACAAGAGTTTTGGTGTTAGTAACACAAGGGCTGATCCAGCATGAATGGGTCGGCGTGGCATGCGCAAACAACTGGAATCAACTGTCAGAGCTCCAGTGCTGAAGTAGTTCTTTATTCTTTTATTTTCATACTGTTGTTTTCGTCACTTTTTTGTTTTGGAAAGCTTCTGCCAGTTTTTGACAGTATTTGATTTAAAAAAGAAAAAAGAAAAGAAAAAAGGGCTAAGAGGACAACTAAGCCTTCAGAAACTACAAAAGGGCCAAAGAGAAAGTTCAAAGAAAGAAAGATAGAAAATGGCGGTAAAGCTGTAGTGAGAAATGGAATGAGGACATTTGAAATAAAAAAGAAAAATCCTCGAAATACAAACCCAAGTCTGTTTATTTTTTTATGAAGCCATGAAACCCCAAAAATGAGAAAGAAAGAGGGCCAGGGAAACACACGGTAAACCAAAAAAAGGACAATAAGAATGATATCTACCAGACAATGTAGTTTGTTTACCATAGCGTGTCCAATACCTGAATGCTTTGAGAAAAGGGGGAAGAAAGGAAATTAAACAATGAACAAAAGGGTTGTTAATAAAATGAAATAAACTCAAATGAAGTCATGATGTGTAGCACATTAGTTTAGGTTCTGGTAAGTAAACTAAAGCCTCTAGTCAATGGTTCATGAGTGGTTAGTCTGGGTCTGAACAAATGTTATCCATAGACAAGCAAAGCATATGAGTGAGAGTAAGAAAATGTGGAAAAGAAAAAGAAACAGCGGATTCTCCACAGAGCCTGTGGCATTTCACTTTTTGTAAAGACACTGCACTTGTCGGCAAAATCTTAAAGTGCATACTCACTTGAAAAAACATTCCAGAATAAAGACTGAGTTTTTCACCAATAATTCCCAATTTGTTCATCGCCAAAACACATTTAACTTCGATTTTTAGGTCTCTTCTAATGTAATGTTTCGTAACGTGTTGTTTTCTGCTACAACCGTGAACGGTGACCTCTATCTAGCTGCCTCTTTGTTGTGATTCATATGGTTTTTGACTTTCCTCAGGCAATTGTACAAGGTAATTCTAATGCATGTTCTTGGCGTGATAGTAAAACAGCTATTAAACAAAGCGAAAAAAATGTCACAGTCCTAGTGGATCAGAGCTGAAATAGCTTGTGCTTGTAGGCACTCACGCCTCCACACATGCCTGCGCAAAAAGCGACATCCTTTCACTCCTGAGGGGCAAAACCACCCTAAATATTTACATATTTTAAAATGCAGCGGCGGAGTGATTTAACAGTTCAGCAAAGATTGGCTGTGGGTAAATGGAACGGTTGAGGTTGGTTGGAGCCTCTCCCTGCTGCCCTGATAAGACAGACTATTTGGAGAAGTGAGGTGAATATCTAGAGGGGTGAGAGACAGCCTCTTGAAGGCATCGCACTGTTGATAGCTTCAGACAGAGGTAAATGCCTGAGGAGGCAAAACTTGAGGCAAGGTAGAAGAACTCAGAGGAAGAAATAGTTGCGTTAGCATCTCGAAGAACTTAAAATAACCGAAAATGCTAATTTAAGCAATATACAGTAGCATTTAGCTCTGAATTAGATCAGAAAACATGAAATTCCAGCCACTTCAGCGTTACCTGTCTGAGGTTGCGTGTGACTTTCACGTCATGCCAGGCATTGTCGTTGAATTTGCCATTGACCGGCTCGACAATGGCCTCGAAGGCTCCGGAACCCAAGTTGATGACCAACGAAACAGCCCCATCTTTCAGGGCAAGGTTGACGTAGTCTGCTGACTTGCCCGTGTGAAGGATAAGGCCATTTCTTTGCCAGGTCTTGAAGGACAATGTGATTTCATCGCTGCTGCTCTGGATGGGATTCTGAGACAAGTCGTAGCAGAAGTACTCGGAACCTCTGAATGTGGCCACGTTCTCTTCTCGCGCTATAAGAGAGGGAAAAAATGTTGTTAGAACTTCTTGAAACAAAACAAACCCAAATATACAAGTTTCCTTAAATTAACCACTGAAGGAGTGCAATTAATTTCAGGGCAGATTACACAAAATCAGACAAGATGACGCATATCCAAGTGTGGGCAGCGAAACACACAAAGAGGCTGTGCATTTAAAGCCAAAGATCTGGTGAGATCATCAGGGAGATAATTTCTCTTGTTGAGGCATATATGCATTAATATTCAGTGATTGTGTGTTGCATGTCTGAGTCATAATTACAAAAGTTGCAGTGCCCTCCAATCCATCACCATTAATGTTGTTTAAGCTCCTCAAACTATGCCTGATCCATGAGATCATCCAGAGATGATACAGAAGCGGCATCTGAAGTGGCATTTAGATGCATTTCCACAGACGGTTAAAAGCATCAGCTTTGTTGTTTGGTGACATCAGCTGAACATGAAAGTAATTTCAGAGGTGGAAGATGAAAGATTATGATGTAAAACTTTGATATCAGTCATTTTGATATAAAATTGACTTTAAATGTAGTTTTAGTGATTGCATGCCAAGATCCCATTGGTCATTGTAATTCATAGTAGATAATCTACTGCATCCACACTTATGGAAATAAGTTCACTCCTGGTCCCTGTGGTCCCCAGTCCATTAATCACCAAGGTGATTATGGTGGTGTGGCTCAGAGGACGTAAAAATACACATATCTAATGGAAAGTTCCTCCAAACCAACACTAGACATCATTTACATCATGCGGCCAGAGAAGGACCGCGGCACTAATGGCATCATTGATTTATCAGTACTTCACTTGGGCCACCGTGGGGTCGATATATTCTCTGGCTAAATGTTGACAAAACACTCACACGTCCAAATCTATGCTTCACCTCGGCGATCAGCATTAGTGGATGTAGCATGTTTTAACTGACCGGGTAAAGACATCTTGACCAGTTTTTCACTGGACTAAAGAAGCCTGAGCAGACTGCAGGGTTGCAGAGCAGATTTTCTCATCAGGGCTGGTGCTGGTGCCCAGCTGTGAAACACTTCACATGGTAATAAACTCACGGTTAAGAACGGGGCAAACTGACTGAGGGTGGAACATATTGGAAACACATGGGACCCTGATGCAGCTGGTGAACACCAAAACCAAAAATCCACTACTTCTGTGCATTCAAAGAGATGATTCAGATTATATCACTCATTACAAGGCTGAAAGAAACGGATTAATGAAAGATGACTGGATATTAGTGCAGGGCTCCAAACTGCAACTAAAACGGTCGCATTTGCGACCAAAAATATTAATTTGAGAGTGAAGTTTTTGCTGAGGTCGCCACTGGCGACTATATATATTTACATGTTATAACTTAAAAATTTGCATGTAATGCCTTTTTTCCTGATTGTTTTGCGATCACATCTTTTGTTATGTTCACGTATTAAACTGAGACGATGCGCATCAAAGTTTTAGTGG